CAAAGATCCAGTGGCTCCAACGCCAGCCATGAAAAGCGACGAGCCCCCATTGCGGACACCAGAGCCCTCCCATAACCCTGGGACCGAACAGCCCCCTGTCAGGGGCGAGAATTCAGATCTCGCGAGGCCTATTCAATCTCGCGCTATCTGCGTCGAGCTTGCTGCTGCCTCGGCTACCAGACTCCTCAGGTGGCGGCGCTTGAGTCGGGCTACGGAGGCCGGGTTGCCAGAGTGAGGGTAAGTTCGCGTTGTTTGCTTCTTGGCTATTCCATCACTGCGTCCCTCCACTGCCTGTAGTACTTGAGGAAAGCACGGTTCACTCCTCCGCCTCCAAGCGTATCATTACTTCAGATTGTAGCCCTCATCTGAAGTACCATCCTTTTCTCGAGCTAGCGGCCCCACAGGCAGATCGCCCGCGGGACTTCTATGTCGAGTTCCCTGGCGGGTCGCCCGCCCTAGTATCTGCTCAGGGATCGCCTCTGTCCTGAACTCCTCCTGAGTTAACCACAGCCCTTCCCCTCCGGCGCTTGGCATCTGCACTTTCTCAGACCCTGAGATTCCATTGCTCTGACGCCCCGTACCCTTTGCCCAATAAAAATCACATCTGGAGAGACTTGGCAAACTGAAGTTTGTTCAGAAGATGGTGACCAGGGTTTGAGGGTCACTTAAGAAAGAATTGAAGGAGATAGGAATGTGCATGGGGGGGTATCATAAAGGCATAGGATTTTTTTTTCCAGCTGTCCCAGAGGACAAAGTAAGACTAGGGTGGGGGGTAGCTGACAAAGCCGGTTTTGCTGAAATAGAAGGGAGAATCCTTCTATGATAAACAGATGAGCTAGATGGAAATATTACCGACAGTTAGCTAGGACTAGGTCCTCGAGAGGGTTAGGACAAACGCGAAACACACCACAGCTGCACCGGAGAGACATATCGGCTGAAAACCAGGCCTCAAGATAAAGATGAGATGACCAGACCTACATACTTCCTCCAAAAACAAACACTGGGCCTGATGAAGTCTACATAGACATTAGCCACCCTGAGTGGGTGGCCTGACACCTGGGAACTCACCGCTTCCTAGGAGAATCCTCGGGTTCTTTCCGTCCACTCTTCTTCCGTGACTTGCTTCCCAATTGGACCACCATTACCCAAGTGACGACCCTTGTAACCTTATTGGATGTTCATGGCTGTGGCCCACGTTGTACCCACGTGGGTTTCACCCTATAAAACTCCTCCCTGTAAAGTGGGGTCCTTGGGTTACTCATTCAGGATCCCTCCTGCCCCTCAGGAGCTTTCCTGTCAGTAAATGTCTTCCTACTCTTAACCTCCATTGTTCCTAGGACTCCTTCTTTGATTTCTAGAGAACAAGAACTTTGTGTATCATACATTTAGCAGGTTGGGAGATATAATATTTCATATTTCATCTCTGATGTTATTTCCTGTAATGCTTCTAGAAACTATCAATAGTTAAGAGCTCAGGTTCTGAGGATAGACATCTGTGCCTTCTTCCTCACCATGGCTCTGACCTTAAATCAGTTATTTGACCTCGTGGCCTTATTTATAAAACGGCAATCATAATATTAGTAAGACTATGCATATAGAGTCATTTTTTACAGTGCCTGAGCCACAGTAAGAATGTAGAAAAAGATTTTATTTCTTTTAATGGCTACAGCAGTCTAATTATTCCCGCTTTGTGGATGAGGAAAAGTGAAGTCCTGAGAAACTGTCCTTCAACATGTATTTGTTTATTGCACTCAGTGTGACCCAGATGTTTTCAATGTACTGGGACTATTGCACAAAACTATTCAGACAAGATGCCTTCTTTTATGGCACATGTTTTCTACTGACTTCAGGAGATAATCAAGTAACAGACACTTGACTAAGAGGATTTCAGAAGACAGTCAGTGCAGTGAAAACAGGGGACTGGCCCTAAGTAATCTAGATTGACGAGGAGCAATAGTAAAGTTAGGTCTTTCTGAAGAGGTAAAAGTGAGGTTCTATTAAAGAGGTGACATTTGAGCCTAGTTCTGAACCATGACAAGGACCTACATGACAATTCTGGGTTATACAAAACTCCAGAGGTAGGAAAGAGCTAGATGTGATTACAGAAGAAAAAGAAGGCCAGTATACAATAGTGAGCAGGGTGAACAGCGTGAAAAGACATGGGGTCAGAGCAGAGGCTTGAGAATACAAAACCTTTTAAACCATGTCGAAGGGAAGCTGCTGAGAGTATTTGAATCATAAAAATGATATGATCTGATTCCATTTACAGTGAAAGGGATATTGGTTATTTGGTGAGAATGGATTAAGGTTGGAGGCCTGGAAGGGTAGTACAACAGGTAGGAGGTTATTGTAGTAGTCCAGTTAGTGACGATAGTCACCTTGAGCGAGTAATTGATTAACTGTGGTCACAGGGCCACAGACTCACAGAGGGAATACAATTCAGGTATTTCTGACTCCTTTTTGCTTTGGATTTATTCATATTGTGTTATGATAGTGTTTGGAAATGTACCTTGGTTGTCTTATACCAAACTGTCAGCACTTTCAGGACAAGATCGTTCATTTTTTAGTTTTCTTACAGCATAGACGTCAATCCTTTTTAGATATCAATGTCCTTGAAGCCAACAATACATATTCCTCTACCACTTTTTCTCTCCAGGCACCTTTTCCATGCAGCTTTAGGTAGCAGGATAAATACATCAATTGTAGTATCTTTGTTTTGACTTTCTAGTATTATTTTTTTGTAATTGCAAAATGAAACTGTTCCTCTCAGGTACTATAATGTTGATAGGAATACAGGGGCATTCTTCTTTGTAGCTTTGTCCTTTAATAAAATAAAATCTGTATCGTACAATTAATATAAAATGACAGTTCATGTTTATGAAATACTTCTAGATGACAACTGAAATATTTTGGCATTTTTCACTTGTATTGAGAATGTAGTGGGTAGAACATCATGTAGTTCAATCACCAATTCTTTTTTTTTAAAAAAAGTTAAAATTTGCATAAAAGTTGCAGAAGTAATGCACAAATTTCCTACATACACTTCACCTACGTTCTTGAATTTTAAAATTTTTGGCACCCTTTGAAGACACCCTCCGCATCATAGTCACAATACAAGTATCAAAAATTAGGACAATAATAGATCTTAGTAATAGATTACTATTATTACTATTACCATGTGTGGTCACCTTGGACTACCTACCATAACAAAACACCTAGACTAGTTTGCTAAAACAGCAAGAGATTTATTTCTCACTTGTCTTGATCTGGGATCAAGGTGCTGACAGATTCAGTTTCTGGTGGCATTCTCCTTCACCTGGAACAGACTGACCTCTTTTGTGTCATCCCATGGCTGAGAGGAGTGAGAAACATTGTTGGTGTCTTTTCTTATGAGGAAGTAATCCCTTTTGAACAGGGTCCCAGTATTGTGGCCTCATTAATCTTAAGTATTCTAACTCGAGTACAGCAGCTGCACTGCAGGCTAGGGTTTGGCATCCTAAATTTGGAGGATATATGCATTCAGTCTTTAACACCATGTTGTCCATCAATTGTTAAAACGACACCTCTCATCCAAATCACTTTTATTTTAGGTCTAGGATCTAATCCAAAGCTGCTGGTGATTTTAGTTGTCACTTTCTCTTAAGTTTTATTCCCTCTGGAATAGTTCTTCAGTCTTTCCTTGACTTTCATGACTTTGATATAGCTGAATACAGGCTGGCTACTGGGTATAGTTTCGCTCAGTCTGGGTTTTGTTTTGTGTCGTCATAGCTTATGAGCCTTTGCGGAACACCAGAGAGGTGATGCTGTGCTCTTCTTGGTGAATGCCCTTAGGAGTTACTTGGTCTCAATTTATTCCATGACTGTAACATTCACTCCTGTTTATTACGATATGTCGACCAGGTCTCTCTATTTACAATTAATCCATAATAAATGTTAGACTCATTATTAATTAATAAACAACATGAGCTTGGTGGGGAGGAACATTGAAACTGTATAAATATCCTGCTCCTAATCAAACTTTATCCCGTCATATTTTGCTTTCCTTGATGATTCTTGCCTACATCTGTTATTATGATGAAGGATTCCAGCCGACAGTTTTCTAATGTTATCACTCTAAGTTTGAAATCAATTGCGTGATAGAGCTTTCTGTTATCCTTCATGTATTTTTACTCATTTATTTGTTTATGTCAGTACAGATTCCTGTTACTCAGAGGATAAATCACTTTTTGTTCTTTTTATCATTACTTTTTCTTAGTACGTTTGCAGTACAAAATGATTATATTTACTGTAGGTGAATTTGTATATATACATAACACACCTTAGTTCTTTTTTTGTCTCCTTCTCCCCTCCTTCCCTACCCTCTCCAATTCTTGTTTCCCTTCCTATTTGCAAAATTCTCTGTTTTTTTTCTTCTTTAGTTGTCTTTTTAAATTTATTGTTCTGATGTCAACTTTTTAATTCTAATTTTCAATTTCCTTCTGTTGACTTCGCCCATAGAGGCCCCCTTTTGATCTGTTCCCCTCATTCTTTGATCGCTTTCTTACTTTCTAGCATAGGAGGTGCCAGGCTTATATTGTGATTTTTCATCCTAACCTTGGGTCATTCATTTCTGCAAAAAAGTTTTTTTTGTTTTGTTTTGTTTTGCTTTGTTTTAGTGGTGAGTACTATTTAGAAAAAAAAAAAATCTGAGCACCAGAGGCAGTCCATTGCTATTTGAATGTCATTGCCTTTAGACCTTCTTGCAGAGAGAACTAGACAATTTGTGTGAATAACTAATTATGGATGTATGTATGTTTGTCCAATGGTGAGAACTCCGGCTACCATTATGTGTGTGTGTGTGCGTGCGTGTGTGTGTGTGTGTGTGTGTTTACTCAATCCTCCCTGTATATAAGCATATTACCATAGTGAAAGCCTGGCTCACACATGCAAGATCATTTTTACCTGGTGTATCCACCTTAAGCTAGGCACTGGATAAGTTCCTCGCTGAGTGCCATCCGAAAGCTCAACAGGAGAAAAAGTAAAGAGGAAGAAAGAGGAACGTCTAGTTAGGAAATTCAGTTCCACGCATTTTAGAAGGGTTAGGAGGAAGTAGAAAAAGTCAGTAAGGAAATTTGATTCTATAAACATAGTCCCTTTCCCCTGATCCTTCCTAAGCTCCATCCTCACAGAAGGCCATCTTCCAATTTTGCAGAAGAGGAAAATAGTTTAGAATGAAGTGACTTGCTTGAGGTATTTAG